AGGAAGTGAAAGAAAAAATAGCAATACGGCTACAATATGTTTAGCTTATAAATTAATAAATGCCTAAAACAGTGGTTCGTCATCAGCAGACACCCAGATATTATTCCATTTTACATCTATAGTCTGCTCGTACGTCTAGAAACTTTGAAATGATTTTGAAAATTTCATTCAAATGATTGCAATGGCAGTTAAAAAATTCGTCCTACAGTGAATAACCAGTATTAATGATATAACTGTCTATAGCATATCCTTAGAAGCCAAGTTATTTATGATAATTGTCTGTACTTTGTTCTAGATAATTAGCTTGGACATTATGTTAGCAAGAAATGAAAATTTAATTTATAAATTGAATTCATATCCTCCCTATTGTATATAAGAATTAAACCCCCAAAAACAGATGTAACAAGTTTATCAGGTAATTTTAATTCGCCATTTTTTAACTGTAAAAAAAGGTTATGTCCCTAGACGATATCACCGAACTAAAATGGCAAATACAGTATAGAGAATCTAACGAATATTATATTGGAAAATATAGGAGAATGGTGTCTAATTCGTGCCATTACACGTTTGCGTGCTAGCAGTTTATGCTCGTGTTATACTGTATCATGTCTTTCTATCTTTTCTATCTCTTATATATCGATATAACAGGACTATAAGATACAGTATTAGGTATAGTGATTTTGTGCTGGTTAGATCTTAAAATGACCTTTACCATACTAGATAAGTCGTCTATCTATTAGACACTAAGTTGTATAATTTTCGAAATATCATCACCCCTTGTTTACTTTGAAGTCAATGGCTCCGATTCAAAACTTTACACTTTACGCCGCACAATTTAAAAACATTAACATGATTTTATGCATTACACCGGCAAGAAAAACCTCGTAGTACCAAATGTAATCACAATTAATGGGAGTGGATTTTCTAGATTCAAATATGGTACCATGTGCGCTTAATTAAATTGCCATAATTAATGGTCAATACGTGCTCAAACAACTATTTCTATTCACTGTTCTACTGTATATAGCAATTTTGTTTTCTATCACTGTATAGAAACTTTACAATACTCGTATATATAACAGTATGTGCAATATGATTAAATACAGTAGATCAAGAGCAGTTTATTGACCGGTTTGTGCTGACAAATTAGCGGTCATTATAGTAAGTTATTGACCTTGACTTTAACTTTAAAAAGAAAACTACAGGTTTAACATTTACAACCACGTTTTCACTTTTAGCGTGGTAAGAGAATAAGCTTTAAGGATTGACATCTGCTTTGAAATAAGAGTGAATGCATCAGACTTGATTAGCTAATGTATGGCATGGTAAATGCCAGATTACGAGTACGATTGAATAACGTTATTGATATAAAATCAACTTACTGTACTAGACGTTGGCCGTTAGTGCTGAACAGTTGGCAAGAAATAGCGATGGTGAAGTACATTTTAATTACTAACTAAAGGTTGAACATTTCTAAAATATTATAAAGCAAATCAATTTTATACGCCTTCCCAAAGTCTAGTAACTATTTAATTTGCTGAAATAAATCCTTGCCGAATAAATTACTGTCACGTCGTGGACTATTCAGTACTTTGAAGTATTTACTTGTCCATGGTATTGTTATTTAAAGCACGCGAAATTGAATTTTATGACTTGTAAGAAAGTGATCGCTTTGAAGTAGTACATGATTGAGATATGCAATGCGGCTTGCCAAGAGCTGAAATTAATCGTATTTAATACGTCTTTTACGATAGCTGCAATCTATCAGTACAAGTCACAATATATGTATTTGGCCACGTCCAATTCAACTCGAATACAGGATAAAAAACGATCATGGTATAACGTAAAGCATGCTTGGAAATTATTTTGATCATGTCTCCATCATTTCTATCATTACGATGTTGACTGGATTTAGAGCAAAACACCTTCATTCCTTTGCTTAGCTCTTGCAAATATCAATATCATAAGGAGTATGGTATGCAAAGTTTAATAAATTACAATTTTATTGAACTCATTTCGTGTGAAACCGAAGAGCAATGCAGTACAGTAGTACGAATACTATTCCCACATATAATGCGGCGTATTTCGTACGGCCGACAGTGGATCAATCCGCTCTTCCAAACCCATCCTTGCGAGAGTTATTGATGATGGAATCGCTGCGATTTGTACCTTCCTTTCGAACGAGAATGACAACAAGCAACATTTTCTTTTTTTCAATACGTCTAGTGAGACTTCTTATGGTAAAATACATGTCAGGTTTTACCTAACATTCTTTCTTGTCCTGGACTGCGGCATACAAGTACGCCTATGCAAGGATTTGGTTTGGTTGGAACGACCAGTTCGAAGCCAACTTTAGGCAATGCAGTTTATGCAAAGATCCCCGCTGGGTTGTGGGAGGGTCAGTTTGCTGAACAATATTCTACTGCCAGTCGATTGCATACGGAAAGATCCTGCTGTCATTCCTATTTTGGCGTGTATATTTGGAGTAGGTTTTATAACGCAGGAGAAAATCTCCAGCCTACGAGGACGTCTACGAGTCGTCGATGGCATGTCTTTGACATCCATCAAGAAAAGAGAGTAATCCAAGTAGACTAGAAGGAAATTACATTCACTTTGAGCGACAGATGGTGGGATAATTGACTAGCAGGAAGTAAAAGGAGTAACTTATTCTTTAAGGCATGCAGAGTGTCGGATTTAGGAAGAGAAGAAATTCCCAGATACAGTACTACAGTATTGCAGATTTAGATGATGACAGTATCGAAGAGAATGAGTTTCTGTTGGCACACCCTTGTCTCTCTCTCCTATGGGTGTCCATCATATTCTTAAGCTACTAGTAGACTCCTCGCTTGTTAGACTATGCGTACTATCTTGTACATTGTACAATTTCGCTGATTGAGCATTTTACTGTAAGGAATTTGAAGATTTTGAAGAATTTCGGAAAGCATCACTGTTGCAACCGTGAGAAGGTATACAGTCTAAGGCCATGAGTCAATGCTCTTTCTTATTGGGTAAGGGGATTGGGATTGGTGATGACTGTCTATCAATGCTACTGTCGGGCTGCGTAGGATTGATCGATTCTATTATCAATGTGCTTCCAATTCAAGTTGAGGTTGAATTGGATGCCTCCATCAACTACATTATTATGACCATAAGGAAGATGTAGCTTACGAGAAGAAGGTACGTTGGAAATCACTCAAAATGGAGTAAACATGGCATAATACGCCATGGTCAGCAAGTAGGAGAAAGTGTACTGGCATGGCTACTAGTAACAGTACGAGTGCGGTATGAATAGTAGCTTGAATAGTGGCTGACAATCAGCGAGATATAGCTTAGGAGAAGAAGGTACGTTGGAAATGACGCAAAATGGAGTAAAGATGGCAAAATACGCCATGCTGACCGAGTAGGAGAGAGTGTACTAACATGGCCCTAGCAACGGTGCGTTGAAAATCAGCAAAATGGAGTCAAGATGGCAAAATACGCCATGGTCAGCAAGTAGGAGAAAGTGTACTAGCATAGTTACTAGCAACAGTACGAGTGCGGTATGAATAGTTGCTTGAATAGTAGGTGACAATCAGCAAGATATGTAGCTTAGGAGAAGATGGTAGGTTGGAAATGATGCAAAATGGAGTAAACATGGCAAAATACGTACGTAGATGATCGAAATAGAACCAGCAAAGGAATCTCCATACTGCCGATGATGATCGATCTCAGTGCTGTACTATATTACTGGTTGAAACAGATCGTTTACATGCACATTATTTTGCACAGTCGGGTTATTATTTGCATCCACTGAGGGACTCTGTGGCAGGCGTTCAAGGCAAAGCGCCATTATTATTTTTACGCAGGGCTTGCTTAGGGGTACTGACTAGTTCAGTACTTCTCTGTCTACAGTGCAGTAGACTGTAGTCCTACAGTACCGTACACTGTACTGGACTGGCAATACAGTACTGTACACTGTACAGTACAGTGTACAGTACAGTATAGTACAGGAGCTCTACAGTACAGTATAGTACAGTACAGTACACTCTTCTTACCTAGAGTGAAGCGATACAGTTACAGTACGCTCTTACGGAGTGAGTCTTACCTAGAGTGAAGCAATACAGTGCAGTACAATACTGTACAGTATACAGTATGCACTACAGTACTGTACCTAAAAAAGAGGGGTACTGACCGTACTGTACAGTGTACAGTACAGTTCCTACATTTTGGGGGACCTTTTCGGTACTACCATTACAAATTTGGGACCAATTTGAATCATGAACTGAATCATGTTATGTCGCCCGCGTGCGACTGAAGCGATACAGTATAGTATATGCACTACAGTACTTAAAAAAGAGGGTTACAGTTCCTACCTTTTTGGGGGGGGAGACCTTTTCAATACTACCATTACAAATTTGGGACCAATTTGAACAATGTAGGAACAATGAGGAATTGAGGATGTACATTGTACAGTACAGTACAGTACAGTATAAAAAAGTCCATCGACCTACAGTACTGTATCGCTTCACTATACTGTACTGTACTGTAGGTAAGAAGAGTGTGTACTGTACTGTACAGTACGGCATGGCTTCACTCTAGGTAAGAGTGTACTGTACTGTACTGTACTGTAGGTAAGAGTATCGCTTCACCTCTACTGTACTTAGGTAAGACTGTACTGTATCGCTTCACTCTAGGTAAGAGTGTACTGTAACGCTTCACTCTAGGCGAGAGTGTACTGTATCGCTTCAATCTAGGTAAGAGTGTAATGTATCGCTTCAATCTAGGTAAGAGTGTAATGTATCGCTTCACCCGCACGCGGGCGACATGACATGATCAAGTTCATTGTTCAAATTGGCCGCAAATTTATAATGGTAGTACCAAAAAGTTTCCCCCCCCCCCAAAACGTCAGTTCAACTACTGTAGTTTGGAGTTAAGTATGGGACAGGACAGTACTGACCTACGGTGACTGCAAGACGTACAGTAGGAAAGCCATTGCCAATACACGGACTCCATTTTCAATCATGGACATGGACATTGAAGTAGAAAGTGATCCTGTCAAAATCTCACAGAATGATCAAGAACAGGTAATTATTACTCTTCTATGACCATACATTGACTTTAGAGTTAGGCAAAAAGCAAAGGAAAAGAAGTTCGAGTTGACGCTGTCAGTTGAATTTTTCCAACGGGACATATTCCAACCATGCAGTCGGACCGTTTTAGTTGTAGTTAGTTAAACGACGACAGACATGGTGCTGCATTTCCTGGTTGGGAGATGAGATAGAACCGTAGTACAACGTAGTTTTCTAGTTTACAAACTTTCTTTACTCAAAGAAAACTGGGTATTGAGCTAATAGACATAAACTAACTTGTCAACGCGCGTTCAGCTCAGTGAATAAGGTGAAACACCATTCTTGCAACAGTCAACATGGTCAGTTTACTCTATATACTTCCAATACTCTTCGCTGTCTCTAGGAAATAAAACGGTGAAAAGGACGATATCCACACATTTTATTCCAAGTATACATGCTGCTGGATGAATTCATCAAGTCTTACTTTACTTCAAAAAGAAACTTGTATAATAGTACAGTATTAGTATACCTTGAACGTATTAGAATCGAGCCCTTTTTCACTGCCATGCAAATAATCATACAAAATACACAGCTGAAATACGAGTTTGCGTAGACAGCCAGGTACCAACAGAAAGTGCTATTCCACATCAAAGTTACATTACTAAGCCCTGAGATGAATTCATCAAGTCTTATTTTGCTTTCATTAAAGAAGAAACTTGTATAATAGTACAGTATTGGTATACCTTGAACGTATTAGAATCGAGCCCTTTTTCACTGCCATGCAGATAATCATACAAAATACACAGCTGAAATACGAGTTTGCGTAGACAGCCAGGTAGCAACAGAAAGTGCTATTCCACATCAAAGTTACATTACTAAGCCCTGAGATGAATTCATCAAGTCTTATTTTGCTTTCATTAAAGAAGAAACTTGTATAATAGTACAGTATTAGTATACCTTGAACGTATTAGAATCGAGCCCTTTTTCACTGTCATGCAGATAATCATACAAAATACACAGCTGAAATACGAGTTTGCGTAGACAGCCAGGTAGCAACAGAAAGTGCTATTCCACATCAAAGTTACATTACTAAGCCCTGAGATGAATTCATCTAGTCTTATTTTGCTTTCATTAAGTAAAGAAGGAACTTCTATAACAGTACAGTATTAGTATACCTTGAACGTATAAGAATCTTGCTTCTCTGACATTGAGATAATCATACAAAATACTGAGCTGAAATAACAGTATGCGTAGACAGCCAGGTAGGAACAGAAAGCGCTGTTCCAGATCAAAGTTATATTACTAAGCCTTGACACACATGTATTAATATTGGCTAGACGCAAACTTCAAAAAGACAAATGGAGTGATGGCAAAAGTTAAAACAACTCTTGCACCGTAGGAAAGAAAGTGAAAGATGAATGATTTATATTAGCATCATGAATGACGAACTGCAGTAATCACCAACCGTAATGGACCTTTAGCAGATACATATTATAGTAAACTGTGATTGTGTAAAATGTATTTTTGTACATGCTTCAATGTTGGTGTCGTATTAAGTTAGGAAAATCGTGTTTGAGTAGCTTCTAGCGGATAATTTGAGTGTTTGACGCACAATAGAACTTACTGTATGATAGTCTACCTTTGTCCAGGATCAACTTAAAATAATAATAATAATGCCCCGATCAAGTTGGTAAACTTGATATTATAGTACAGAAAATTGAGCTTATGAAGTTAAGCTTGGATAAAAGACTTTTATGTGATATTTTAAATAATTATTTACCTTGGTAGAGTGTCGACGACGAAAACAGGGATCCAACGGTACAAGACGACAGCGATACAGCTGGAAGAAACGACGCAGACAACGGAGATGATGAGTCTGCTCAGGCCAATCGAAGACAACGAAGAAGGAAACGAGGCTGGGATATTGCATCGTCTACTGGTATATAGCTGTAGCTTTACAATTCTTCTATCACATGATATTACATAAAAATACTGCGTTGCAAAGTGTATTAAGAGGTTAATCAGCGTTCATTTGCTGTAAACTAGTTAGTATTAACAAGTTAGCTCTTAATAATAGAGTGTAGTGGCGCAACGAGTAGAGTAGATTGATGGAATGGCTAGTTGGCTACACTTGCGTTCTACATTTTCAGTCATATTTGGATCCAATTTGCCTGCCCTAACAACTATTGTTGCTATTGTAATGATCAAAATTGTAACTTATGCATGTCTGATGATCTGAATAGAATCATTCAGTCTACGTTGCCCTGTTAGCGTCTGATCGGTTATGAATTACCATTACTTGCTGATCAAATTTACGCTCTTGGAGTAATACGCATATACTAAAATTGAAACTATTGCTTGTGTGATATTATTTACTGAAATTTTTTCCCAATGATGATACTGCAATCAAACCTATCATTAGAATTAAGATGGATATGTACATTATACATATAGATTGATGGAAGCAATTTTAAAAGGCTTTCACAAAGTGCAAAAGAAACTCACTTGTTACAGTACAATGCACTATCAAAAAAATCATTTTAATAGCATACTATAAAGTGGATCAACTTGTACGAGTATGTACACCTTCTGATGTCTAAAAACACAGTTTTTACGCGCATACTTTAGCTATTATTACAGTAGTGGAACTCACGTTCGTTATACTTCGGGTACTACCGTATATACGCGTATGCTTACACTTGTTACTTACAGTACAATTACGTAGGACGCTTTCACCGATTGCTGATTGCGAATTATTTGACACATTGCTTGTGAATATTGATTCTGTATAGTAAATGGTTTGCGATGATATAGCCATCATTAACAGCTATTTTCTTCGTATTTGCTCTTTCTTTCTTTCTGTATTTCTCTTCTGATAATAATTCGCATAGTAACTCCCCGAACGATGTAATCATGTCTATCAGAAGTGTGATAGGAAGAAGAAATTACGTATTGCAGTGTATTGATTGAAATTTTCATGTAATTGATAATTGTTTATAGTTACATTGTTATTTCACTGTAATGTTGTTTCTTCAAGGCTGAATCAATTTGAAGTTTGATCTGGACATAAATTACGTTATCTACAGGTGTAAAATTAAATATTTAATCTATCGTACAAGTTGTAGTGCCATTAAAATCGGTATACCAATTGTTAGATTTACAGTAGTGTACCTACTTACAGTTTGGAGCAATAGTTATTTCTTTAGTAGGAACTGATTATACCTTAGTAGAATTGACTATATCCGTCATAATATGAGTTTCATGGTGAGGCTATTAACAATGCAATAACGTTTACTAGGTACAGTTGCTTAATTATCAAATTTACCAGACACCGGTCAATCAGTAAGCATGCATCTTATTCTATATAGGCATATCCTGATATGAAAGCACTATATATTTTAATAGTGTTTCTTATCCATGCACAGCACCTTACTACTAATCGTGTGTGAAAAAATATCTTTTACAGTTAAATTTGCTGAGATACCAGGACGTGAAAGATTCATGTATTATTGATAGATTTTACAGATGTTTATTTCTCTTTATGTAACTGTAGAGTTGAACGATGACAGTATGAAGTTAAAGCCTGGTGTGTTTTAAACTGATCTATAATATATCATTCTGTATAAACCGTTTACTGATCACGCAGAGCTGTACAAGCAGCAATTACTGATTAGTGTGCTACACAACTGTTTCAATATCAACTGAAATTTCTTGCTACAAATCTAACATTTAGATAAAGATCAGTCTACCAGTGCAGAAGTCATTCAAACCGGGGAATTGCTAGCTGGTCCTGGTGCCTCAGTTCATGATGCTTCAACCGTAGCAAAGCATATACTGGCTGCGTCAAAGTTACCGACACTAAATGATGTCCAAGAAGAAGCCTTACGCAAAGCCAAACGCTATGCTGTTGAACAATCTGTTCAGTCGGTACATCGGCAATAAACTTGACGTAGCATAGTATCTAACATCAGATTACTGTTTACTAATTTTTAACATTTTACTTTAATGCAGCTCCTAACAAAGCAAGCTACTGTTCAACAACAACAAGTAAATTATTTTTTATCTTACAATTTTATAAATTGTTCCGTAGTGATTGTATAAATTATTATTGCTTTTGGTATCGTGAAATATGTAGTAACATATCTAATTTTACTTATTCGGTTATCGTTATATTATGAAGAGACACTAATTTATATCAATATTAGGTTTCTGCTTTGCAAGTTGCCGCACAACAACAAAGAGCGTTAGCATTAATGTGCAGGTATGATTTTAAAGGATGGTTACGTCGTATTCATTTCATTAACTTTATACCTATAAATTCGTACAGAATATATGTAGGAAGCATCAGCTTTGATTTACGTGAAGATCATATCAAGCAAACCTTTAGTCCTTTCGGTCCAATTAAAAACATTAATCTTTCGTGGGATACAGTTACGATGAAACATAAGGTTTGATTGTCTTTTTGTTAACATAAAATAAGGCACCATTGGTAATAAAATGTCATTTATTTTATCGCGTGGTTAAATAAATTTTAGGGTTTTGCTTTCATTGAATTTGAAACTCCAGAAGCTGCACAGTTAGCTCTAGAACAAATGAATGGCCAACTTATGGGAGGCAGAAATATAAAAGTTTGTTCATGAAATTGTGATAAATTCTAGATTTTATAATTTTCAATACTGATATTATTGGGCACTATCTTCTGCTACAAATATTTCAGGTTGGAAGGCCGACCCAAATGCCTCAAGCTGGCCCCCTTATCCAACAGATTGAAGAAGAAGCTAAAAACTATGCGCGCATTTATGTTGCATCTGTGCATCCAGATCTTTCGGAATCAGATATCAAAAGGTATTTTAAATGAATATAATAATACGGATCAGTTAACATTACCAACTCCTGTTTTTGCCGTTGTAACCCTTTTTTAGCGTTTTCGAAGCATTTGGAAAAATTAAATCTTGCACGATGCCTTTAGACAATATTACCGGTAAACACAGGTCTGTAAGCTTAGAGTAAACCTGTTATAGGAGAATTCAACTGTATATGTTACGGGCAATGCAGAAAGTGCAAATGGCTATATAGTCCTATGTTGCTAATTGAAATTTGTAGTGTAGTTTAAATTCTTAAGCAAATTATACATATATCAAGTATGCTAACAAATTAATTGTTTATTTTACTTTAGAGGTTATTGTTATATTGAGTTAGACGGTCTACAATCAGCAATGGATGCTATTGCTTCTATGAACATGTTTGATCTTGGAGGACAATATTTAAGAGTTGGACGGGTAAGTCTAGATCAGCTTTTCTAGGATATTGTACAGGTAATATTTATACGACTGTTATACTTAAATTGACAGGCAGTGACACCTCCTACGGCTACTGCACAACCGAACACTTTACCTCCAGCTGCAGCACTCGCTGCTGCGGCCGTTTCCGCTAAGATACAATCACAGGACACCGGAATTTCGAGTATTTATGATTATTTTTCGATAATACTTATGTGTTGCAAGTCTCGTTTTCTTTAACTATAACTTTTTACTTTTAAAGTTCCTACTGCGACTTTGGCAGCAAATCCTTTAATAGCAACGAATTTAGTGGGTGTCACCAGTATAAACAGTGTTACAACTGTCTTGCCAACGGTTCCAACTGGCGTAGTAGCTGTAACACCAACAACCACTGTTCTTACATCAGTCGCTACTGTGCCCACTACATCTATCGTTACGGTAACAGAAACTCTTGCTGCTGCTGCTGCTCCTCCTCCTCCTCCTCCTCCTCCAACTACTACTGTAGTTGCAGAAGGTATTATATTTTACGGAAAATAGTAATGTTGACAATTCAAAATTCAATTTCCTATTAATCTAAAATTTAAGCAGAACCACAAAGTACACCAGCAGAGAAAGTAGCAGCTGTTTTGGCAAATGCGAAGAAATTATCGGAAGAGAATGCGATAAACCAGCCAGAAATGCAAAGTCTAAGCCACGAAGAAAGTATGTCTATTTCGGGTAGTACTGCACGATATATGGTGATGCAAAAATTGTCTAGAAAGGAGGAAGTAAGTACAACTAAGCAATACTATTAGTTATTACTGCTTTTATATTTATTTTGGATTGGCAATTTCTAAGTTATAAAATAAATTTTCAGCAATCTCAGGTTATTATCCTTAAAAATATGGTCTCCGTTGAGGACATCGATGAAGATCTAGAAACTGAGGTTACTGAAGAATGTAGCAAATACGGGACGGTGAAACGTGTCATAATATATCAAGAACGTCAAGGGGAAGAAGACAATGCGGATGTTCTTGTTAAAATTTTTGTTGAATTTGATTCACCATCGCGTAAGTCATATGTTAATTTATTGCCAATATTAGAGCAACTGTTATATCATAAGTGTTAATATCTTAATTTATAGAAGCTGGAAATGCTATTGATGCTCTGAATGGAAGATGGTTTGGTGGTCGAACAATAAAGGCAGAAACATATGACGTTACAAAATACTCAACTGGAGATCTATCTGCGTGAGAAGACGATCATTTATAATAGTTTACATGATATTTGTTACGTACTGTATTTTAATATATATATAGGAGATGTAAACTGTACAATTGTACTGGTGTCATATATTTTAGTACTATTCCCTTATCATGAAATAAAAGTTTTGTGAAATTTATATTAATTGAATCAATGTGGACTCTTGTATAAATGGAAAAAATATATTTAAATATTTCACATCCTGTAGCTCTAAGGCTGATGGCATTGCATGACCATGAACTAAAAATGATAGACACAGCTTATGATTTCAAGATGAAACTCCAAAGTTAATTCATAATGATTTTAATCTAAAACATTAACTTCGTCCTCGATTTCATCTTCGTCACTTTCGCCATCATTTTGGTCATTTTCATCATCATGATTGCCCCCTGAATTCGCAGTATTAGCTGCAAAAGCTCGCAGTTCTGCAGCAGCCTGCCGGAAGTAATCCAGTGTCGTAGTATAAATATTGTGCAGATGCTCTTCATTCCCTGCAGGTAATTGTTGGATGGCACCTTCCGCTGCGGCTGCAGCATGTTGCTGGCCTTGATGATTTTGTTCTCTCTACCACAAGAAAGAAATGCATCATTATTACAGATTAGAATTTATTACCAAGCTTGAGTAGATTTAACTGCTGAAGAAAAGCTTTAAAATTACATTAACACAATGTAATTTTGTACCTGCGACGCGAAAGAAGGCATTAGGGAACGCATGAACAAAGATATCAAACTTTCATTTTCATTATCAACTGATCTATTGTCATTTGTTTCATGACGAACAAGATAATTCAGAAAAGTGTTAGGTGTGCAAAAAGAAAACGAAATTATAAACGATATCGTAGTTCATCTCATACCTGGTTCTTGCTGGCCGGGTGTAACTAGTAACATTGTCCGCAGGAGGCACGGGATCAAAGATTGTCCAAGAAGTTTGTGCTATGTCCTAAAGATTAACATCCAATAATTCTATAATAACGTACATAATGATTCTAAAGATCCACAGCATACAGAAAGTGGTAATGTCGCGATGTTCTAGTTTTACAACTTACCGTAGGTAGTGAAACAGAAACGTTCTTAATGTCTAGCAGGATAAGTAATATTGAATTTAGCATTACTGTACGAAACTTCTAAAACACACGACGGGGCCGGGCCTACGAAAGCACCGAAACCAAAATTACGAAACTATCATACCTGAAAGAATTACATGTCTGCAAATATTACGGGGTATGCCCCGATATCTATGGGCTCGCCTATGTAAGATTAATCGGTTAACAAGTAAATCAACATCTTGTGCACCGTTTGTTAATTGAAAATTAGTACGAGTTTAAATTAAGGGCCTTTACGCGCAATTACTTTTCAGACAGCTCCTTTGACCCTAAATCATTACTATTCATTCGTTTAAGGACCGCCTGACAATTGTTCGCCAACCAATCGATGACCTAGGAAATATTACTATTAACGACCACTTTACATATCATTAAAATAATCAAAGACTAATATACCTCAGGAATTTTCCATAGTGAATAGCAGCGCTCAATATACAAATTAACTAAAATTCGAAGTCCATCACTCTCGCTAACCAACATTATCAAATTAATAAATAAAGCACATTTACGATATATCAGCAACATACGCAGTATACACGTACGTGAATCATAACACTAAAAAAGGAAGGAATCCCATTTCGAGACATTAATAATAGTTAAACCTAAATCATTACCTGTAACTTGATTTAAAAAACGGATTCTCGACTACGTCAGGAGAAAATTTAACTGAGCACTTATCAAGCAAAGGTATTAAAACCTGTAATGTTTATTCACAACGAAGATTGTTATCTACAGTGTGTACAGGAATAATCCGATAAATGAGCGAAGAAATAGTACTACTTACCATAGGAAACATCATTAGGGCTTGCTGCAACTGTAAGCACATTCGCAGTTATTACAATCATTACATTATATTAACAAATCAAAGTATGTATACTACTCTAAGACAATAGCATCCACCACTAACCAGGCTATCAGCTTCATCATGTGATCCAGACTCAGCTGCTAAATAAAATTTGGCGATAGACGTCGAGTAGGCAAAATTGGGCAATTGCGACAAATTTTTGTCGTGCTGCAATAACGATTATTTGGTATAAGTATATTTGCAGATAAAATTGAAATTGTTAATTAATCTTTTAATGTCCAGAGACAATCCATCAAACTAGTTCTTATAAAGGCTACAAGTATATTTGTTCAAAGATAATTAGACGCTATGAATAAGACGATTACCTCAACTTCGTTAAAAATTCTAACTAGGTAACGATATTCTTCAGATTTCAATGCATAAAAATCAATCATTAACAAAACGCAGAGCGGATCGGTGTCTGAATCAAGGCTAAAAGTATGTGAACATGCTATTAGTTGCCTTTATTTGAATTAGTAAAAGTGAACTTGTTGAACCGTAACGGTTTTAAACTGATAGCGTATAATCAAAGAAGTACTGTGCTGTACACAAGCGGAGTAAGATAACCTCTATTTTATCAAAAGAAGCGAAATACCTTAGTAAAAGTTTACAAAGTTCTAGTCCAGTCCTGTAACAACCTAGGCACAATACGAAAGTATTAGATTTAATATTGTAATTATCATTATTAAAAGGCACATTTACAAATATTCTTACTCCTCTGTCCTACAAATTTAATTTGTTGAAAAAGAGTTGTATAAAATGCTCTAAAAATAAAACGTTTTAGTCACCGGATTGCGCACATAGTTGAAGCAAAGAGAGCAAAATGAAGTACTGATAAAAACCTGTTTTCCGGCCTCAAATAATCTAGCCTGCAGTTCGCTTGTGTTAAATTGAATAAAGGATGAAAAGTACTTTCAAAGCTGTACATTGCCCTCTCTAAATTATATAATGGATAATGATATCGATGAAAAGATGGAATCAGTTATAGTATCATCAAGCTTAAAGAATCATACAATAGAATTGTAAACTAATACCAACCTATAAGTTGAGCAGCCATCTGAAAATCTTCACTAATTTTGCAAATTTCACTCAATTGTAATAGTGAATCAATATGGTATGGGTACATATTCAATACTTGCTAAATTTTAAAAAAAGTTATACGTAAATTATAATCAGCAATCTAAAATTTTCTAGTTTGTAATATTCGATAGCAATAGTTAAAAATAATGTTTCTACCATTGATAAATTAATACACGATTGCATTTTAAGTACAATTATATAGCAGCAGCTCTGCTGTACAAACTATTTTAGTCACAGAGTTATCGAATATGGTTAAGTACAATAGCGATTTTTTACTTACAGCAATTGCGTTAGGATCATAAGTATCTACTGCGTCAAGAAACTGAAACTGAATCTTTTGATAGTCCGGTTGATGTTCAAACGTGAAGTAATAAATTCTAAATAGGTAGTTAAGAAACGTATGGATATTTATACCGTTAGGCCTTGTAATGCACAACACCCAGCAAGTTTATTTATTTTATCGTTATAAATTTGATATATAAAATAAAATTATAATAATGTAACCTACCCATTTTTATGTTCAATAAGAGACATAGTTAAACCTAAAGAATATATCGTATATATCGTATAATCGACATTATGATATGAATTGTACATAATCTATGTGCGTTTTAGGTCTACCTGAAAACCTCAAAAATCTTAGCATTCGCATACCTAATTTTATCATTGGAGGCCAAGTTTCTTTCGGATAGGTTAGCCTTTGTTATATAAAAATAATGTCTTTATCAGCTTCTATTTGATGAAAGCATATGAAATCAAAATCACTGCATACGCATTCTTACCATGTTGAGCGATATGTTGTTCTCTTGTTACGGACTTTTTTCCTACAAAATGAATATCGTATAGTCTTAGTTTTCTCGCGTTCTAAAGGAATACTTATAATTACAAAAACTAAATATTCCATTAAGGGTATGCTCTTCTTTTATTCTTACCTAATGGATTTTGCGGCACTGGTTCCAAATTTTCGTCTCATTTCATTATCTGGATTTAAATGTCTGCATGTGTGAAATTTTAATAGATATCAGCCATCTACTTTATAGCTATAAAATGCAACTGGCGATGAATCCAACATAATCCAGTTACCACCAACTAAATATATATGTACAGTATGTACAATGAGTGCTACTGGGTTAAGTATATTAACGATCTTTTCGTTAATTCGCTCATTTTCTCACGGCTTTACGAAGTACGTGGCATATTCTATGAAATCACCACACAAAGTAACATGATAGTCTGTTACTAGTTCTATAAATCTTACCTGTGTTCAACAGTCAATAAGCCTTGGGTTTTAATTGCTATCTTTCCGAAGCTATCATCATCGACCTTAACTAGTGGTCAAAATATGATTGGTCAGTTTATGGTCACGTTCGTTATAATTTTTTTGTAAATGTCATTCAATTTTGATTATCAATTAGGGAAAAAAAGAGTACAAGTAGTATTTTGATATATGCCGAGAAGATTGATACCTGTTTCGAGCTCGGGCAATATACCGAGTTGGTCGTTGACAGCTTTAACTGCAGCTTCAACCTCATCTACTTCTACACTTAATTTTGCATCCTATTATACATCGATTTATGAATTAAAAGAATTAATCAATACGATTCGACAATATTAACAATATGCTAAACTGAAAGCTATGCCATAGAAAGTGGATGCAATTTTATTAGGATATTAGTAACAAGCATGTAGAAAGCATTTTAGGTTGCTATGATAAGAATTTTTCCAAATAAGAGTGATGCTTTAGTGCGAGAGACAATATGCTGAACCTGCTTTTTAGAATTATTAGCTTTATTGGCCTTTTTACGCTTTTTTTTCTTCTTATTGCTGCCTTTAACTGTATTTCCGACCTATGCATGGTAAAAAATTAATTAATATTCTTTTACCATTATGTCTAATTATGCATACAGTATTGTGCTAATCATTTTTTTTCTATTTTGTCGTAGGTATGATCTTGTCAACTGGCTAATCATCCATCACAAATGAAGTACGTGCATTCCATAATGACATTACGTTATACTATACTATACATATTGTAAAATAGTGTAGAAAAGTGGTGGTTTTATTATCAATGTATCTATTTTTATAAGAAGTTGAAATCTATATTTTTGAAAGATGAGTACAGACTGTATACATTCACTACATATTAAAAATTACAAATGGCACTATTTCAGTTCAAATTTAGCAGTATAAGATATTTGATAATATACCCTTTAGATTTTGTTATTGTACAATGAATATGATGTGGAAACATAATTTTAATCATTTACCATCGAGGTTGAATTCTCTTGCTCTTTGCCACTATTTTCATTATTTGAGTTGCTATCCTGATCGTTCATCTACATGTATAGCAGAATGGATGAAGAGTAGATTGTATTACATTTATTTTAACATAGTTTATCCTCATGTTGAACATCTTGAGTAGAGTACAAAAATAATTACGAGTATATTAATATGGTCCATACGAGTATCATTCACCCATTCATATTAGAGATAAGTCTAGTATACAGTACAGTAATGTAGAGTGTCGGTAAAGCTTAACAAATCGTCAGAAACTTCAAGTTTGTTAATCTACTGTATGTTAAAGTTACAGCAAAGGGTTAACCTGCATGCAAATTAGTTACAAAGCCACTGATAGTATCGTGCACAAAAAATCGGTAGAATCAGTAGGATCTCTAGTCACGCTAAGCATAGCAAATGCTGTAGTACCGTAAAGATTAAGCAAGTCATTTTTTCGAATTTCTGCAGTCAAAGTAAATGACTTTGCGTTAGCCTAATACCACTTCTCTCGTCACAAGTAGTGACTAATTCAATTTGTTGATGACGTTATTATCAGAATAGATCATGAATGAATAGAATAGCTAATAAGATTTGCTAGTGATGCCAACCATGCAATGAGTACTGGTAAGATTAAGCAAGGCTTAATGTAAACTGTCGCAATCTTGCATATTACAGTATGCTAGATATTGGGTGTAGTCAGAGTAAGCAATTACTTTTTACAGAATACTACTTCTCTTATCCTAAGTAGTGACTAATCCTATTTGTAGATGACATTATTATAAAGGCTGATACTATCCTCGGCCAACTACTAAGGATTGGGGTGTAGAAGGCCACAAATTGGGCCTTCTCCAATCTTGCCATGGACGACTATGGAATGACTCTATCCCTAGCCTAGACAAATACTGTATCTATGCATTTCATACCAAAATACTGAAACCACTAGGCCTTGGTGGATTATATGGATCATCTTCATCGCTACCAGCATCTTCAAGCTGTGCATGATCATCGATATCAGCCGATGGTCCAGTCGATTGAAGTGAGGCAATATTGCTGCCATAAATCTTTCTCATAGCCCGGGACGACATCTTTTCTTATCCAGGTTAAAAGTCCTCTAGCCCCCCAACCCTTCCCAATAGCAATCGTAGACAGTCCGATGTCATCGATGGTACAGACATACCGACATCGGACATTTTGAATACTGGTGCCTTCCAAAATACTGTACGGTAAGTTCTACCTAGAGCGATGTTTGTAGACGGCAATTGATGGCGTTAAGCACCGACTGTAAAGGCAAAAAATCGATCTAAAAGTATCTAGCAGCTGTGTCAATATGTAGGTTGGGAGGGATATACTTTTTGTGCCTGTTTAGTCGATGCTTACGAGAATAAAATGTTGTCCATTGAACACTGCCTACAAACTGTATGCATGGACTACTAGAAAAGAATACTTGGACTGGAAAGTCCTTTGGACGGACAGACCTTTTAGGGTAGTTGGTCAATAAATTGTATCAAACATTGGATTCTGACAGTACTTTAGTATGCAGACAGTGGATGTGAATGGAGTGATTTTTTTCTAAATGAAGCCATATTCCATGGCATTCTATTGCCTGTTACTTAGCTCTGCTTAGCAGCAGTCAATTTCAATCATGAATGTGATCCAAATTAATGCGAGTAATTTCGAAAACAAAGACGGAAGATCTCTATTGACGAGTAAGTATTTTTCCACATTTTTCGGCCCTATCCAGTCTGTAAGGTCCGTCCATCCGAGGAGAGTTTTCCTTGCAGTATTTTCTTCTACTACTTCCAGTACAGTACCGTACACATTCCTCTGCACTTGCGCAGTCATAAACAGATTCATTTCCATTGATCGCATTATGAGTACAGTACAGTACTGTATACTGTACAGTAAGACTTTTAGACCTGAGAAAGGTTCGGTTCGAACCGTTATGATCTACTGTATATAGTTGCAGCCTTGCAGGTATTTTTTTCAACTACTGTACTTACAGTTAGACCTGAGAAAGGCTCGGTTCGGTTCAAACCATTATGATCTATAGAGTTGCAGGTGTTTTTTTCTACTACTTACAGTACAGTACTGGAGAGTCGAGAGTAAACCATTGCTATGCACTTGCGCACTTGTATATAGTTGCAGGTATTTTTTCTACTACTTACAGTACTGGGGAGTCGAGAGTAAACCATTCCTACGCACTTGCGCACTTGCATAAAGTTGCAGGTATTTTTTTCTACTACTACTTACAGTATGTACACTGTACTGTACTGGAGAGTGGAGAGTTAACCATTCTTATGCACTTGCGCAGTCATAAACTGACTCATTGCCATTGATCGCATCATGAGTATCCCCAAAAGCCAAACCTGAAGCAGACTAAAATAGCCTGGATCACATGACACGAGTTATAACCAATCAGCTTCAACATGGCAATTTTAAATTTCCTATACCTGTGCGCCACAACGTAAGTTGATCCTTGTGCAGTTGACTGCAACAACACGTCACTCAGTGAAGACTGAATCGCCTGGTCAAGCCATAATAAAAACAACGCTTGGCCTACGCGCCCCAGCCACAATTTCACTGACAGAATTGCTGCAAGAAATTGCCAGCAAACGACCAGCCATTAGTGCAATTAACACCAGCAATCCACTACAAATTAGGAGAAGTTGAAGACAAGGTAAGGTAAAGAAGGAATGAGCAAGTAAAGATCGCCATCGATTGCTGGTAAGTTGCTACAGGCGTAGTAAGGTAGTATGGAGAAAAAATAGGGCCCTTTGATACAGGTGTAGTGGACTGGTGATGTTCTTCTCCAGGCAGTAGTTCTTGGTGGTAGGATGCCAACCACAATTTACAATAACGTCGAAAGACCGCTATAGCGCCTATCGTCTTTTTTTCAGTTATCCACCATCAGTAAAAGAAGAATCTTACAATCAATCGCTGTGTGAAAAGATTATTTTGAGTCCTACTCCAAGGGAGAGAAGGATTCCTTCACCACTAGACACTAGACATGACTTGGAAAGATTACTGTAGAAAACATTCGCGTCGAAAGAGAACTATAGTGCCTGTAGTCTTCTTTCACTCATTACTCATCAGTAGGAAAGAATCTTACAATCGATCGCTGTATGAAAAGATTACTTTTATTTAGTCCTACTTCAAGAGGAAGAAGGATTCCTTCACCACTAGACATTAGACTTTATTGGAAAGATTACTGTAGAAAACATTGCTATCATATTAGAACATTAGCGTCCAAAGACCGCTATAGTGCCTGTAGTCTTCTTTCAGTCATTACTCATCAGTAAGAAAGAATCTTACAATCGATCGCTGTATGAAAAGATTACTTTTATTTAGTCCTACTTCAAGGGGAAGAACGATTCCTTTATCACTAGATACTAGACATTATTGTGGTTGCTACGAAAATACAAGAATGACAATTGGCCTTTTGCTGTTTGATATTCAAAGCAAACCTACAGTATTGACTGTAAAAGGTAAAAAAAATATATACAGTACTGACACACTTCAGTAGCGACTGTATACCACTGTAACAGGAGAGCTTTTCAAGGTCTGGACTGCATCCATCTTCACTCTTGGACACAACGAGCTCGAGCTTGACAGTAGTAGCAAGAGGCAAAAATCAATAACTCCATGTTACTCTGGAAAAAATCACTTACAAAACATCCACTTTTCAATCCTTGCATGTAGTCCACGACTAGGGGACAGGGCTTGCAACTTAACTCAACTGAAATAGACCATCATCCAACGTTGCTTCAATTAATAGCGTCTATTACTTCTATGTATTAGAAATGGAAGACACTTGTATTGTTCGTGGAAATTTATTCGAAGAATTTGAAACACCTGTGAAAGCCAGCGAAAATCCCAAGAAGGAAAAGGAAAATACAACCAATAAAGAACAAACATTGAAAGTCTTTCTCCGTGTTCGACCTCAATTAGGTATTGATATCCATACAACTATCGAATTAGCTTAAAGTACTTGTTTTATTGTAAAGTGAAGTCTAGGCCATAGAACAGACTTGCATTGTACAGTGCAATGATTAAAACGGTAGAATTGAAAGGTTTTGTAAGTTTTAAGAAATTAATAAAAGCATCATGATGGGAAATTTTAAATCGGACTGTGCAACCATAGGATGGCGAGCTCTGTAGTTATGAACTATACTGTCAATCAGGAAACAAACTTGCAGCACCATCAATACTGCTGTATACAGTAGCACAGTCAACACCTGTTGGCAGAGATCAGTCTGGACTGTCCAATTATGGCAGAATTGTTTCATTTTTTATTAAGCTATGTCTATGCACATTGCACAACTCACTTGATCATTGTCATCATCTTCAACTGTACTCATTGAAATATACTATCAACTGTATAGAGAAAGAACAAGGTGAAGAGAAATTAACGTGTTTTCAAATTGACGATAAAGACCAGGAGTTAACTGCCAAAGCACCCAAAGATTCATTTAATTTTAAAAGTGCATTTCGTGGCTGTAGCGAACTACAGCATAAATTCACATTTACCAAAATATTCGGCCCCCATACTGGCCAGAAAGATATTTTCAACGAGACAGTATTGCAATCCGTCAAAGAGTCCGCTAATGGTAAGCACTGTCGTACTCAATCATTCATGGTATAGATGCATTTTCTCCGTCTCAACAAAATCGTTTAGAGTACTAACTGCAATGAAAGAGTTTACCAATACATTACAAGTAATATAACTACGGTATCAAGTTATTGACTTAGTAATTATTGATGACAGTTAGTTTTACTCTGTTGTGACATCGCTACCCGCACAACAGCGGCGAAAAAAATAATAAGCTAAAGCTTAAAATCATCTGTTTACAATTCTTAAACTATATCAGTATAGTGCTAATACCAGTCTTTCAATGACTAGTGGAGAGAGAATAACAAAAATATCATGTTACTACTAAGGGTAATCAAGTTGGAACTAATTGATGCTTGCTACAATTAGGTAAAAATGCTCTAATTTTCACTTATGGCGTCACCAATTCTGGTAAAAGTTACACAATTAACGGTAGCAGTAAAGATACTGGCATCTTGCCTAGAGCGGTGGATGTTCTATTCAATTCTATTGGGGATCAATTGTATAGCAAGCATCTTGTAAAGACGTTAAACCATAGTGATTTTATTCTTCTGGACGATAAAGAGCAAGCGGAAGAAGCAGCAACCAAAAGCAAACTTTTAGATCTTCTAGGCTTGCATGATCATAAACAGGTATGTTCAACCATAATATTACAATTCTATACTTTAGGCAGGGTATGTTATAACCTTAAAAGATGTTTATCAACCACAATGCAATCCCACTGTGTGACTTGATACTTTCTCTCTAAAGCATTTCATGTTTATCTTGAACTGTTATGAAGCGTATTAGTTACAATTTTCATGTTTTTCAAGTATAGCATTTCTTTCTGTGTCATTTTTTAGTCTCTCTTGACCAACAACAGTAGTGGATCCAGTTGCGAAAATTCACTAGCGGATACCTCTAAACTTTCCAATCAAACTACAACTTCAGCTGCATCCTCATTGCAGCACGAAGGTACTACTTTCATTTCACTTACTTTTAAATATCAATTAAAAGGCGATGTATGTATTAAAATGACAAGGGTTATGTTTAAGCTAGCCAAAGTGAGGTTAATAATACCCATCTAGCCTGAAGAGTATGAGAATTAAGATATATTTCCATGATCGGTATATATTTTTGATAGATTCTTGCTTAATTTGCTCTTTGGGACGAGAGATTGATCAAAGAATCATTGAAGATACAGTGATTGAAATTGAAAATTTGTACGACTATAAATATGCCGTTTGGGTATCATATGCTGAAGTCTATAATGAGCAAATTTTCGATTTGCTTGCTGCTCCTTCAAAAAAAAAGAAGGAAAGACGTCCTGTTTTAAGACAGAAACAAGATCATCGAGGCAATGTATATGTTAAAGGTTGGTAGTAAATTTATACAGTTCTGTAATCAATTTTTATCGGCATTTAGTTTCACTTTTCATACTACTTAAGCAGAACTAAAGTAAGAATTTGTTTCTTGTACGGGCTTAACTCAATCTTATACAGTTACTGACTTAGAAATCTGACATTCTTTTCGTAGATCTTAAAGAAGTGCTGGTAACAGACCGCCAGGAAGCTTACAAGGTTAGTAAAGGAAACATGACAATGTATGTAATGGTAGCAACCAAAAGTAATTATACATTACCTTTCAGCTATTTAAAATTGGTCAACGGAATCAGCAGATAGCAGCTACCAAATTAAATCAGCAATCAAGTCGAAGGTAAGATTGCATCTCTTCAACACTTAGTAGGAAGTAGGAGTTGCTAAATTATTAAATAATAAGCTATGGTGCATTACTAATTGTTCTTATTGAACTCAAAATTTATGTTGTTATTATCCCTGCTTTCTTCAGCCATTGTATTTTCAACATCAAAATTGTACAAATAATAGACGGCATAAAACCTGAAGTTATCAACACAAGCCAGTAACTAATATTTATTGATTCAATTAGCACCCGACATACTGATGTAGAATTGTATTGATGATTACGAAATTTTAACAATCTATTAGGTTGTGCTTTGTCGATTTAGCGGGCTCCGAACGACAGGCAAAGACTCAAGCCCTAGGGATGCATATCGGCGAAGCAGGAAAAATTAATAATTCGTTGATGACTCTGGGGAAATGTATTGAAGCTATGCGATATAACCAATATCATCGGTAATGCCAACTACTCTAATATCTCCATTGAAAAAATAATTTTTAACCTATGATATGATAATCTTATAGGAATCACCCTCGCATTGTGCCTTTCCGTGAAAGCCAATTAACAAGATGGTTGCAGAATCATTTTGCCGGTCGTGGTTTGATTTCAATGATTGTTAACATTAGTCCATGCACTCAAGTATATGATGAGACATTACATGTATTAAAGTTCTCTGCAATCGCTAAGCAGGTATCTTAATATTACTTTATCTGTTCCCTCTTTCTGAATATTTGTATGGCCTGAATTTAACGCCATTAACGGACACCTCGGAAATAATTTTTAGGTAACAACGGTTCCTAAACCGGAAATTCCGTCTTTACCTTTAATGCCAAGAATTTCCATTGCTTGGGAAAATGATACTAATATTAGTATCGAAAAAGAAGAATCGGATTCTACAGACACTAGAATTACCGTAAGTATTGATTGCAATTAAAAATAACAATACAGCTGTAATTAATATAATCAAAATTTAAAAATTGATCTCGATTGTGTTTGCTCCATAAAGGGATTACTGGAATTAATTGAACTTCTGAAAGACGCACTAGTGGAAAAAGAAAGAGAAATAATTTTAGCGGAAGAAAAGGCGAGAAAGGAAGTGGCGGACGAATTTCAACAACAATTTGAGAAAAGACAAGCTGAGTGGCAGTAAGTTCAAACAATCGCTGAATAAAAGTTGCTTTCAAAGGTGCTTGAGCGGTGTCTACATTAGTGTCTTACACTAATTATCATTATCTTTTACAATTTGTTAACACAGGGAACATACTCAGCAACTGGTTTCACTACGGGAAGAGAAATACGAAAAGAAAATAGAAATATTACAGAAGACTATTAAGAAAAGAAAGCGTAATACTTCCGAATCAGATGTTGAAGATGAAGTATGCAGTTTTACTTCTAATGGTTGCTGATTTCATGTATTTTGAGTTGTAATTTTGTTATATTCTATTTCACTAGCAATATAGCTATGACAGCTTAGATACAACTCCTACAAAGAATGGTAAGAATTCTGACTTTTAAGTGTTCTTTTAGTTTTTGTTATCCTTATTTCTTGATGCTGTATAACTGACTATGTATCCTATTGAATACTGTTGCTATAAAATTTGCATTAAATGAACTATAGGTAAAGATTCGAACAAAATTATAAACGATCTCAAAGTACAAGTCAATAATCTAAGGGAAGTTAATAATAAACTTGAAGAAGACGCCGCCAAAGCCTCAGTTGACAATGATAAGATATACGAATTGCAGATACGTAATGAAGAACTTCAAAAAATGGTAACAGAAAGAGAGCTTAAGCTTCGGGCAATACAGTGGCCAAAAACCGATGTTAGTATTCAGGCCTCATCTGCTGAACCATGTAAGGAATACCCTGAAAAAGACGCTAAAATATTAGACTTGGAGTATGCTCTACGAGAGAAGTGTGAACTGGTGCAATTCTTAGAGTTAGAATTGGATTCTTTTAAAAAGACAACCGAAGAAGCGGAAGCTACTGCTGCTACGGCTAGAGAAAACCTCGAAAGGCTAAACGAACAACATCAGCAGAATATTTTATCTACAGATAAGCAACAACAAATTCAGGAGTTAGTGGCATATAAAGATGAAAATCAAGAACTTATGCAATCTGTAGCGAAACTGACACGTAATTGCGAAATGCATAAAATGGAAGTGCAGAATTCACAAAAGAATGAAAAAGAACTCGAAGTTGCGTTATCTGGTAAGAATAATTTAATAGATAATCTTAAAGAGCAGTTAAAACACAGCTGTCAAGAATCAGGAAAATTGCAACAACAACTTCTCGATTCTGAGGGTATTGTTGATAGCTTAACGGAACGTTCTAATGTGCTGAGTTCTAAGCTTGAATCAACAGAAAAAAAGATCCAGTTTTACGAAGAAGAATTCGTGCACTACAGAAATTTATTAAATAAGAACGAGAATAATACTAATGGCGTTGATGTGGTAGATAATACGAATCATATTATCACTGAAGTAGCAGTTACGTCCGCAACATCAGATCAGCCTGTTCAGTGTAATTTTTTCGATGAAATTGACCAAAGAGTCCAGAGTCTTGAAGAGGACAATGCTTTATTACAAGAAACTGTTTCAAAGAAATGTGGTGAAGTTGTTTTCTTGGAAGATGCATTGAAAGAATTAAGAAGAGTTCATGAGGACTTTATAGGCAATGAGAAATCATTGAAGGACAAGTTAAATGGTTGTTCTGATTTGCAGGCCCAAATCGATGCTCTACAGAATCAGCTGAGTCAGCTTGAAGAATCAGAGCAAAGAAAATCTACGAAATTAATATCAATGGAAGATGAATTAAAAGAAGCTCGTCAAGCCTTGAATCAGTATAAGGAACAGCTCGAAAAAACTTTGCAAGCAACTGATGAAGAGCGCCTTACGGTCAGTAATGAGATTGATAGCCTAAAAGCTGCCAATGAATTGCTACGAGAAGAATCTGATTCTAATCAGCAAGAACTTCAAAGTGTTATTGATAGCAAATCTCAAAAAATAGCCGAATTAAACGATCAAGTACACAATGTTACAAAGGAGAAACGTGAACTTTCCGATGAAAATTTATCGTTGTTACAACAACTGTCAGATTTAAAAATTCAAATATCGGATCTTAATACTAAAAATGAAGCAAAATCAGAAATGTTAGGCAATTTACAAAAGGATTTAACTAATAAAGTGGATGAGCTAAACAGAGTTAAAGATCAATTTGATAGCTGCTCTGAACAACTATGTGATACTAAACAGGATTTAACTAATAAAGTGGATGAGCTAAACAGAGTTAAAGATCAATTTGGTAGCTGCTCTGAACAACTATGTGATACTAAAAAGGATTTAACTAATAAAGTGGATGAGCTAAACAGAGTTAAAGATCAATTTGGTAGCTGCTCTGAACAACTATGTGATACTGAAAAGAATTTAAACGAAGCAAAAGTAAATTTTGAAGAATTGACGGCAGATAATTCTGACAAGGCTAGATGTATCAGTGACTTAAAGGAACAATTAGCTGAAACGAAAAGAAAATTTACGGAAGCATCTGAAGCTAGTGATGAACTAGAAAATTTAAGACGTAAATATAATGTTGCGTTATCTGACCTCGAGGCTGCAAATATAGCAGTTACAGAAGTACAAGAACAATTGGTATTACTTACAAATCGTAATAATGAATCAGAAGCTAAAGTTGACGAATTAACCAATAAAATATCGTCTATGAATGAGGAAGAAGAAAAATTGATAAAAGCTCATGCAGAAATTGCGGCTATGACAAGAACCATTGCTGCTGATAAAGAAGTCATTGATAAGATTAAAAATGATAACGAGCAATTACTTAATCGAATTGAAACTATGAGTACCGATATTGCAACAATAAAGGAGCGAAACGATGAACTTACAATAATTGCAACTAAATATCGGGAAAATTGCAGCAATGATGAGAAAAAGCAAGACCAAATTAACGATTTGATTAAAGAAAATACAAAATTAATTGATAATATGCGAGAGATGGAAAATGAAATGAAAAGTCTATCCGAGCGAATCCTTAGTGCAGACATAAACGATGAATCGCTGACAAAAACAAATAAAGAACTACAAGAAATTCGTAACAAATATAATAATCTGGAAGAAGAGCATAAAGATTTACTTGGAAGACATATGCGAACGATACAATTGGCTAAAGACAAGGACGATAAATTGGAGGCCGTGAAATCTGAGGAAATTGCTCAAAGACAGCATCTACGCAATCAATTAAGTGAACTGAGAAAAAAATTGGATAAATCGGAAGAGACTTTGGATAAAACCGTCGAGAAAGCAAAGGTCGCTGAAGAACGCGTTGTCGAAGTTCATGAAGAGGTATGTATAGTATTTCGTATTTATAGAAATAAGGAACTATGATCGTATTATGCAATGTATATGTTACTCTTTATGCTCGTAGTTTCAATCGTAAATTTCTTTTCCGTAGGTATCGGTATTGCGTAATAAATACGACAGCATTTTGAAACAGTTGGATGAAAAAAATAATGAGATTCAAGGATATTTGACCAATAATACCGACTGCGAAAAAAAGTATTTACAGCAAATAGCGGAATTAAATCAATCGAGAGAAGAAATGATGGCTGCCGCAAAGTCGTCAGAAATTGCCTTTAACAAGATATCAGAGGAACTTGACAGCGTTTCCAAGAAAAATAGTAACTTATATAAAGAACGCAAAGACCTAGAAGCAAATCTCCAGGATTTAAATCGAAAAATCAAAATTTCTGTAGATGAGAAATCTACCTTGAAACAGCAGAATGGAGAATTAATCGAATGTAAGAAGACTTTGGAAGAGCAAATACAAAAATTGGAAAATCGTTTGGCGTCTGACGAAAGACATGCGGACGAAATTAAATTACAGCAAGTCCAAAAAGAAAGCAGGGTGCAGGAAGTACAGCAAGAGCTGTACGACGCAAAACAGAAAATTAAATCATTAGAAAGTCAAGTAAAATCCATGCAATCAGATATTACAGCAAGCTCTTGCGCGTTAAAGATGGAACGTGAAAGTAAATCTGAAATAGAATCGAAAGTTCGAGTATTCGAAGGCAAGCAGCAACAATCGTTCGATAATGAAAATGAACTAAAAAAGAAGCTGCGAGATGTAGAAAAAATTAAAGTAAATGTTGATTCTAAATGTGAATCCCTACAGCGACAAATCTCTGAAATTTCTCTTCAAAATGACAATTTACAAAAAACCAACGAGGCGCTAAAAGCAGAAATTGTTCGATTGAGCGAAGATGTCGAGATAGCAAATCAAGCCCTCGATGAAGCTCAAGAAAATGAACAAAAAATGATCGAATGGCGTAAGGAAAAAGATGATATTGTTGGCCAGTTTCGCTGTGCGTTGAATAAAATCAAGGGTGAGAAAGAGGAATTGGAGAAGGAAAAATCAGAAATGCTAACCACGCTTGGTCATTTAAAAAATAATATGGCCAATTCGGAAGATCAAATAAATGATCTGCTTGAAAGCAAGGAAAAAATGCAAGAAGAAAAAAACAAATTATGTGAGAAAGTGGAGAAATTATCAGCTGGTCTTAAACACATGCATCAACGGTCGGAGCACTCCAAGAAAAGTAGCAAGTCATCAAGCATGAAGATGAGCAACAAGTAAATTATTTACTATTTAGCTTCCTACTCCACCAGTTAAATATATTAAATTATTTATTTCTTAAGGATTATCACTGTTTATAAATTTATAGGACGAAACTTTAATTAGAGCAAGTACGCCACAAGTATTGCTAGCAGAGAATCGTGACAAAGTCCACACACCGAAAGCTAGTGAAGTCGTTCCAAAAACTGCGGTATGTACATGGTGCGTTAAATTTTATGATCTTGTATTGTGTTCTAATATTGTCTAATTTATTCAAATTAGAATATAAGCAAAATAGCAGAGACAACACGAGCATCTGTAGAAGAGTCTATAACAATAGCTGAAACGAGTAAATTATCGAACGTGCAAACTACTCGAGAGAAAAAATCTGTTGCGGCTACCAGTAAAAGAACTAGAAGGAAGCGTATTTCAAGTAACGTTGAAGAATCGGTAGGCCTACATTCTATAGCTCAAGATATACAGTAGTAGTCGTCTCAATCGTGTTACCTTTTGTGATATTTACGTAGGAAGAAAACTCTTCCCCTCCAAAATCATTGAAACTTGATAACCCGAGTACTCCTGTTGCTGGGTAAAATTACTGCAGTAGTTCTTCGCTCTGATTTCTTACCTTATCATTTTGTTATAGCTATTAACATGTGTATACCATACAGTAATAACTGGTTTATTACCAACAGACGAAGTATGCGTACTGCGAAAGTGAAGGCAATTGCTAATCTTGCTCAAATAGAAGATCCCTCCCCATCGAGAATTCCGCTCTCTTTAAAGGTATGGCGGGCTTTCTTTATTTAATTCATGAGGTTATAGGTTTAATTTTCCAAATATATAAATAGGGAGAGGAAAATTGTTCTACGTCTAAGAAAAGCAGTACTGGGAAGCGCGGTATACATAAGGTTATGAACAATTTCCTTCAAAATTCTCCTCTGCGTCGATCAAGTAGGTGTCAGTTACTGATCTTAGATCGAATGTATTCTTGCATTCCAATATCATACGATTGAAGTGTCATAAATTTACAAATTTTCGTCTGTTGATGCTTTAAAACAGTGTATAACATGCTTATTTAATAACTAAGGTAAAAAGAAAACGAAAGAGGAACATGCTATAGTTGAAAATAGTACGGATAGGCACATACCACCTGCCAAACCGAAAAGAAAACTATATAAAGTGCAAGATTTGAATGAATTCACTGCTGCTATGGTGCGTTTGACATCATTTACCACGTGATTTTTATATGAATTTATAGAAATTGGTTCTTGATCAATTACTACATTCAAGTAGAATGACTTCTGACATATTACAATCTATAATTTACTATACAGGATGAACTATCACATAAGGAAACAGATAAAACTGCAGAAGTTATTACTAGGCAATTGCGTCCGCGACGTCGTTAAGTGGAGATGGCGTTATTTGTGCTTTTCAGAATTAAGTGGATGATATCGAGTTTGGCCATTGCAATAGCTTTATAAATTATTCCAGCAGCAGTAGTTATATTTTCTTAGCAAGCTCATGTCAATGTTATGTTTCATGTATTTATATAAAATATATAATAAGCATTTGTACTGAATCCAGTTTGTACAGCCTTGATATAATGTGTTACTCAGTATTAGAAATTTTGAATAACCTTGACCTTTCTTCCTCCAAAAGTATTGTATCGTCTTATTTTTATGTCTTACTTGTAAAAATTGATACTAATCCATTTATTAAAGTTTATCATGTTTAGAAGATACATTGCTACTAGTAATGAAATCTTTGCAACTGAGGCTAACTGATAATATGGATACTTGATAACGCATTTATTAAAGTAATATATTATTTTGTATTCATATAACTGATTACTGTATTTCTTGTTAGTAAAATTTATTCACAGCTACAGTGCGCTAATGATTAAACAATACCAAATATATTGGTTAACTGTAAGTATCCGTACCGCGATATTGTCTGCGGTAATATTAAATATTTACTCGTATAGTAAAAGTTAAAGTTATTGATTATTGATTGATCTCATGATTCCTTCAGAAGCTGATATTTATTGATTTATACGCGTAGTAGTAATACGAGGACTTGATTATACCAGAGTTGCAGTTGCATACAATACTTAACGATTGCGAAGTGATATAGTGTAAACATGATTAGTTTAGCAATATGTAAAACCTGTCCGAAGTGGGAAGGGCATGCAATAGCCCATTTTAGTTTGGTAGGGAATGCATGTATTGTACTTTAACGTATAATGCTACTCCGCTAACTTGAATACGGAAAAGTAATGCTGTTAATAAGTTAGAATCACTTACATTTACATACTTTTGCATTTTCGAAGATAATGGAGGAATCAGCAGCAATAGTTAATTGATCATCCATATCTTTGTTATTGTTTTCTGTTAAATTGATAGGATTTTAATTCAGTTCTTTTGGGGAAAAGGTACAATGCTTATGTATCATCCATTTATTGATGTATGATATTCAATTATAGGACCATTTTTTGCCCTTAATTTAACTGCTAAGAGAGCTAGCTAGCCCATGATGGAATTCGCTTTAAAGCATCGATTTGATATGATAAAGCCTAGAGCTATGACAATCTCGCAAGTACCATATAGAATACTGTATCTGTTGGCGTCACTATGACAGAATAATTTCTGTTCTAATCAAGTAGCATACTGTTAACAGTATTACTCCGAATTGATCGTTCTATTCTTTATCGCTACAGTAACTGTTTATCACTTTAATTTTAGATCCATCTTCTCTAGCTGATATACGAGAGTATGACAATAACAATTGATGATACCCAGATAAAACTTGAACCAATAATTTTCATTCTAGAGTGCAACGGAAATAGTTGGTACGCTACCGTATTTAATAAATTTACGAGCACATCGATTCTACAGTATAGTTCGCTCATCACTAATTATAAAGTCAAAGTCTAACTGATGCTGCTAGCAATTAATAGGCTAGCATACGATTATAACATTATCTATGTTGTAAAATATTTCAAAGCCTACTTGGTTGGATCATAAAATTGCCTTATTTATTAAGATAACTTGAGATTTTACATTTGACAAAAGTTGACAACTTATTACAATTAAATAATCACATACAATCAATCTAGCCATTTATCGAGACATCATCATCAATCAGGCAATCTAATAGATTGGTGATTGATATCGTATTATTATTGATGGTTGAGCAAGCTTAGATATCCGAACGTAGTAGAAATAAAGCTCCTTCTGCTAAGCTAGTCAATGATAGCCAGCTTGAGTTTATTCTTTGTTGAATTTTAAATAGTTTATATTTTCATCCATATAAGATAGATGAAAGCGTTCAATCCTTTGACCTGTTAGAAGTGTGCTTGATAACTTTTGTACCAAGGCGAGAGGTGAGAAAACAGATTGTACAAGAGCATCAGGAGTACAAAATGGTGGTCCAGGATGAATACGTTCATTAATATCGTAATTTAGGGACACTAATAGTCCACGACCGGAAGGAGCCATTAATGAGGCTAAGTGTTTGGCATAATCGCATCGTAAATCTGGATTGATAGCAACAAAAGCAGCACGATCCCAAACACTATCAAATCGATAGCCTAACAATTTGGGCGTCAAAGCGAAATAATCGCAATTGTATATTGTAATATTCATTTCAGTGACTTGACTGGTCAATACTTTCCCCTCTACACCTTGTAAATTTTGGACTTTGTATTCAATTTTATTCTCTTGAAAGAAATCATGGCAAGGCTGTTCGACAACTTCAACGCCCACTACCTGATGACCTTTCTGGGCAAGCCAAATCATATCCAGACTTTTTCCACATAGGGGTACAAATATCGACGAATGGGGATTGTCTTTATCCTGCAAGTGAGTCTCATAATTCTCAACTAGATGAGGATTGGCTTCTTCAACATGCCATTTTGTTGTTTGATTCTGCCAGCGTTGAGACCAATCTTGATGGTTGTAATGGCCCTTTTGGGCATAATCTTCATAAGTTTGGCGATTCTCACTCATTTTCAATCGATCGATACGGTAAGTCGACCTGGTCAATGCACCTAGTATTAAATAGCGAAGTCTTCCTCCAACCCTTTCAGCCTTACGGCAAATATGAGAACTAATAGCGTACATACAAATGATGCAAATTAAGAAATGGCGATGTTCAACCTTTTGTCTCTTTGGTGGTTGTTATGGTCCATAATAGAGGGTACTTTACTTTATACAGTATAATACAATATAGGCTTATATTATATAATATAATCGGATGAAGAATTTGCCTCTACTGTACCGTATGGTTAGTGTAGTCCGGTTAGGGATTTCTAAGGGCGTATTTGTCTCATAAGTTCCTAGTACTGTACAGTACTGGCCCATAGCCGCTTATTGCTGCTACAGTAAAAAAGGGTAGACTAATATAGCAAGTGACGATGCTAAAATTCAATAACGTTTACTAGTAGTTCATTCGATCTAGTCATTTCCCTACGACATATCCAGAAATGCCGCTGAAACGGCAATATATCTTTCGTGCATTTGTCTAAACACATCTTCCAATTCAATCAAGATTTTCGAGGTAAAGGGTAGAGTATACAATTATGTAGTAGGTGGCGATGCTAAAATTCAATAACGTTTACTAGTAGTTCATTCGATCTAGTCATTTCCCTACGACATATCCATAAATACCGCTGAAACGGTAATATATCTTTTATGCATTTGTCTAAACACATCTTCCAATTCAATCAAGATTTTCGGAGTAAAGGGTGAAGTATAGAATAATGTAGTAGGTGGCGATATTAAAATTCAATTACGTTTACTAGTAGTTCATTCGATCTAGTCACTTCCCTACGGCATATCCTTAAATGCCGCTGAAACGGCAATATATCTTTAATGCATTTGTACAAACATATCTTCCAATTCTTAGCGAAATCAATCGATATTTTCGGTGTACACGGCGGAGTATGGAATAATATAGTAAGGGAGGATGCTAAAATTCAATAATGTTTACTAGTAATTCATTAGATCTAGTCATTCCCTATGACATATCCTTAAATGCCGCTGAAACGGTAATATATCTTTAATGCATTTGTACAAACGTATCCTCCAATTCTTAGCGAAATCAATCGATATTTTCGGTGTACACGGCGGAGTATGGAATAATATAGTAAGGGAGGATGCTAAAATTCAATAATGTTTACTAGTAATTCATTAGATCTAGTCATTCCCTATGACATATCCAGAAATGCCGCTAAAACGGTAATATATCTTTAATGCATTTGTCTAAGCACATCTTCCTATTCAATCAAGATTTTCGAGGTAAAGGGTAGAGTATAGAATAATGTAGTAGGTGGCGATGCTAAAATTCAATAACGTTTACTAGTAGTTCATTCGATCTAGTCATTTCCCTACGACATATCCAGAAATGCCGCTGAAACGGCAATATATCTTTCGTGCATTTGTCTAAACATATCTTCCAATTCAATCAAGATTTTCGGAGTAAAGGGTAGAGTATAGAATAATGTAGTAGGTGGCGATGTTAAAGTTCAATAACGTTTACTAGTAGTTCATTCGATCTAGTCATTTCCCTATGACATATCCAGAAATGCCGCTGAAACGGTAATATATCTTTCGTGCATTTGTCTAAACACATCTTCCAATTCAATCAAGATTTTCGAGGTAAAGGGTAGAGTATACAATTATGTAGTAGGTGGCGATGCTAAAATTCAATAACGTTTACTAGTAGTTCATTCGATCTAGTCATTTCCCTACGACATATCCATAAATACCGCTGAAACGGTAATATATCTTTCATGCATTTGTCTAAACACATCTTCCAATTCAATCAAGATTTTCGGAGTAAAGGGTGAAGTATAGAATAATGTAGTAGGTGGTGATGTTAAAGTTCAATAACGTTTACTAGTAGTTCATTCGATCTAGTCATTTCCCTACGACATATCCTTAAATGTCGCTGAAACGGCAATATATCTTTAATGCATTTGTACAAACATATCCTCCAATTCTTAGCGAAATCAATCGATATTTTCGGTGTAAACGGCGGAGTATGGAATAATATAGTAAGGGAGGATGCTAAAATTCAATAATGTTTACTAGTAATTCATTAGATCTAGTCATTCCCTATGACATATCCAGAAATGCCGCTAAAACGGTAATATATCTTTCATGCATTTGTCTAAGTACATCTTCCTATTCAATCAAGATTTTCGAGGTAAAGGGTAGAGTATAGAATAATGTAGTAGGTGGCGATGCTAAAATTCAATAACGTTTACTAGTAGTTCATTCGATCTAGTCATTTCCCTACGACATATCCAGAAATGCCGCTGAAACGGCAATATATCTTTCGTGCATTTGTCTAAACATATCTTCCAATTCAATCAAGATTTTCTGAGTAAAGGGTAGAGTATAGAATAATGTAGTAGGTGGCGATGTTAAAATTCAATAACGTTTACTAGTAGGTCATTCGATCTAGTCATTTCCCTATGACATATCCATAAATGCCGCTGAAACGGCAATATATCTTCAATGCATTTGTACAAACATATCCTCCAATTCTTAGCGAAATCAATCGATATTTTCGGTGTAAACGGCGGAGTATGGAATAATATAGTAAGGGAGGATGCTAAAATTCAATAATGTTTACTAGTAGTTCATTCGATCTAGTCATTTCCCTACGACATATCCATAAATGCCGCTAAAACGGCAATATATCTTTCGTGCATTTGTCTAAACACATCTTCCAATTCAATCAAGATTTTCGGAGTAAAGGGTAGAGTATAGAATAATGTAGTAGGTGGCGATGCTAAAATTCAATAACGTTTACTAGTAGTTTATTCGATCTAGTCATTTCCCTATGACATATCCAGAAATGCCGCTGAAACGGCAATATATCTTTCGTGCATTTGTCTAAGCACATCTTCCAATTCAATCAAGATTTTCGAGGTAAAGGGTAGAGTATAGAATAATGTAGTAGGTGGCGATGCTAAAATTTAATAACGTTTACTAGTTGTTCATTCGATCTAGTCATTTCCCTACGACATATCCAGAAATGCCGCTGAAACGACAATATATCTTTCGTGCATTTGTCTAAACATATCTGCCAATTCAATCAAGATTTTCGAGGTAAAGGGTAGAGTATAGAATAATGTAGTAGGTGGCGATGTTAAAATTCAATAACGTTTACTAGTAGGTCATTCGATCTAGTCATTTCCCTACGACATATCCATAAATGCCGCTGAAACGGCAATATATCTTCAATGCATTTGTACAAACATATCCTCCAATTCTTAGCGAAATCAATCGATATTTTCGGTGTAAACGGCGGAGTATAGAATAATATAGTAAAGGACGATACTAAAATTCAATAACTATGACATATCCAGAAATGCCGCTAAAACGGTAATATATCTTTCATGCATTTGTCTAAGCACATCTTCCAATTCAATCAAGATTTTCGGTGTAAAGGGTAGAGTATAGAATAATATAGTAAGTGACGATGCTAAAATTCAATAACATTTACCGATAGTCCATTAGATCTAGCCAATTCCCTATGACATATCCATAAATACCGCTGAAACGGCAATATATCTTCAATGCATTTGTACAAACATATCTTCCAATTCTTAGCAAAATCTTAATGTATTCCGTTTAAACCTGGTATATTTGCTTAGACAAGTATAATGATGGCATAGTGACATTTCAGCGGCATATTTGGATGTATCATAGGGAAATGTTTGGGTCTGCAGTATAGTCTATGATATCCGTGATACGATAGTTCAAATGACCAGTAAAAGAGGTGAAATAAGATGGCTGTTATGCAACGAGATCAAGCATCTGGAAATTCGATATTTCATTGGTATCAATAGTACTACAATCTACTAGGCTGAACGATGATCATTTCTTGTCTATCTTGCCTTGGATACAGACATTGCAGACTAGAATTCTACTTACTCAGCATTGTAAGACAATGCAACAGAGATAGACAACTGCTACCGCATCACAGAAGTTCTCGATTTAGCAGGGACTACTCAAATAATGATATAGCATTTTTTAGTATTTTTGTACGGTATTTGATATCATCTATGACTACAGTAAGAACAGCATAAGAAAGCTAGCGGAAATCTCTAGACTATCAGCGGATAGTTTTGTCATTTTCTTGTTTATCCGCAACAAGTCATAAGAAGCAGATTCGCCTTTTATGACTTGCAGGCTTACCCTTATCTGATAATTATATAATTTATTCCTTAATGAATCGTAAGCATTTTTACTGATGAAATAGGGAATGAAGGAGGAAGAAGGCATGTTTCCAATGCAACAGGTGCTGTGATAGTAATTCAAACCAGGAATCCACGACAACGTGTCCTACTATCCATACAACAGCATTTTAAAGACGTCGATACCAATGGCGACTTATAACAGAAAGTGATGGCAAATACTGTACTAGCCCAGCAATGCGATCTAAACAGTAAGATTATTCATACTGTACTTTGACTTATTTTGACCACAAAGAGAGAAAGACGAATATCGCATTTTGGAAGAGGGATTTTGCCGTATCTCGATGGCTTCAATGTCAATTTAAAAGTTACGTGCTAGATACCATCTAGCTAGCAATTTCAATGGCATCACGATCGTGAGAATGATACCTTTAATCATGGAGACTGCCAATTTTTTATTTCATTTTTTGTAATATCTTGACCCCGTATGTTCAATCGATCAAGTATACACAGTAAATCTGTGTGCTGCCTTATTATATAAATCTATAAAAGCCATTATTGAGGTACACTTCACATTAAGAGCAGACTTGATTGCGACCTTGTGACGGTAGAATTTATTTTATTTCTATCGCAATAAGCAAGCAGTAATAATCAAGAAATACGCTGCTAACATCGTGTTAACCAACTCAACTCATTGCGATGAAATCATCAATCAAGCCATTTCATAGTAGTATCCTTAAATGGACAATCGAATAATCTAATGATTAATATCATTCGCCTTGTATATATACGTATAACCGTATAATCATAGATTATAAAAATGATCATTAAATCGTAGTCCATGATTGTTTGATAAATATCTACATACCCTTAGACATCTATTTACAATAAAACTAGGTTTCTCCAGTGCTGTTCAATGGTGACCAGTTTAATATTTAGCCTTCATTGAATTTAAAATAGTATACATTTTCATAAACATACGATAGTTTGAAATGCTCAACCCTTTTACCTGTTAACAGAAACGACGATAACCTTTGTACAGATGTAAATGGTGAAAAAATAGAATGTACAAGAGTATCAGGAGTATAAAATGGCGGTCCAGGATGAATATGTTCATTAATATCATAATCTACAGCGATTAATAATCCACGACCAGAAGGAGCCATTAAGGAAGCTAAGTGTTTGGCATAATTACTGTGTAAATCTGGACTGATAGCAACAAAAGCGGCACGATCCCAAACACTATCAAATCGAAAGCCTAATAAGCTAGATGTCAAAGCAAAATAATCACAATTGTATATTGTAATATTTATTTTAGGATCTTGACTGGTTAATATTTTCCCCTCTACGCCCTGTAAATCTTGGACTTTGTATGTAATCTCATTCTCTTTGAAGAAATCATGACAAGGTTGCTCGACTACTTCAACGCCTACCACTTGATGACCTTTCTGAGCAAGCCAAATCATATCAAGACTTTTACCACATAGGGGTACAAATATCGACGAATGGGGATTATCATTATTTTTCAAGTAAACTTGATAATTTTCATTTAGATAGGGATTCACTTGTGACAAATGCCACCCTATTATTTTATTCTGCCAGCGTTGTGACCAATCTTGATGGCGACAACGGCCCTTCTGCATATAATCTTCATAATATAACTCCTGCAACTGGCGATTTTGACTCATCATCCAGCGATACTTTAATGATTGAATAATATTCGTGATCACTCTACCAGAATCTCCAAATCTATCCTTTATTATGTTATTTACGGATGAGGACGAGATTTTCTACTGGAATATTGTATTGCATTGGACTATAGGAAGATGGACTAAGTCTATCCTATGATTATGTTATTTACATATGAGAACGACGAGACTTTGTATAGGAATATTGTATTGTATTGGACTGTAGGAAGGTGGACATATTTTTTGAATTACTCGTGTAATAAAGAGTATGATTACCACAGGAGAAATAGTAACCTTGACAACGTATTTCAGCTAGCAAATAGAGCAGAATCTTATAAGTAACAAGTTCTGCAGAAGTAGTTTACTGTAGAGAATGTCTTTATCAGTGCATGCAAGATAAATTGAGAATGGAGTGAAGAATACAAACAGATTCTTCTACTGTAGCGAGCCTAATATGAACCGATTTTATTCATAGAAATGACTCCAATTTAGCTTGAGTAGACTAAATAACGGTACTAGAAATTACTAAGTAAATCTAGTCATTGATAATAGTACACTACCTAAATGCCTTTAATTTAATGCTGGAGAGGCATGAATGTGTTTTGACTCAAATTTGACTTGAGCAGATCAATTGGTAATTGTAATACTGGAGATTACTAATTAATTAATATATATGTACTAAGTAAATCTAGTCATTGGTAGTAGTAGTACACTACTTAAATGACTTCAATCCAATGCTGCAGTGTCATGAATGTGTTTTATGACTCAAATTTGACTTAAGTAGATCAATTGGCAATTGTGGTACTAGAGATTACTAATTAATTAATATATGTAGATATAGATATATATAGATATAGATTTAATGAGATAAAGCATGAGTTTCAAGTGAGAACATTAATGAACTTGACATCATAAGGTAAGAATGGATTACTGTAAGATGTTAGTTGAAACCACTACTATAGTTTTACTATACGTAAAAATATAAATAGATAGATATACCTTAGTTCATAACATCACGGTCTTTAAATATTCAATAATTAATTATCTGTACGAGTCATTTAAGTCTTATAATATTAGTTAAAAAAAATGTATTAGTACGCTCGAAACTAAAATATATTAAATGAATTTATAATAAAATAACCGATAAGATGCACCAAAAATTGCAATGTTCACATACGATTGAATCCTACATAATAAACAGCTAAGGACTACAAGACTTATGATAATCAATAATTCATCATCTTAGGTAATGTAGTGTAGTCATTCCATATCTGTGATGGAGTCAATAATTTTATTAAATTATTTGTAACTAGACATGGTAAATAAATGTGAGAATAACTATTATTAGGTGATAATGGAAATTATGTATGATTATGAATGTACTAGTGAAGTGATGATAGATTATGTTTATGAGTTATTTATTTGAATTCGATATGAATAACGTAGATATATAAGATAGAAGATTGAGAAAAGGAAAAACAGATATGGAGACAGTGATCTGCTACAGGTTGTACTGTTTTCATTTTATCAAATACTTCGCAACCCTTTTTATTGTAGGTAATGAACACTACTAAACTGGAAATCCAAGGAAGAATATTTAATGGGTAAGAGGAAGAAGGACAGTATTTTAGTGAGTATTACAGGTAAGTAAGCTGGTAGTCTGTTTAACAATAACCATAATATGTTATATTTAGTTAGCATCATCAGCATAGTAAATTAGAGAGGAATAGTTTGCCAGTTGGAAATGTTTAAATAAATGCGATCTTGCTTATACGTGATTGCAGGTAGCCATTAAGAGTGTAGCAAAGTCGTTTACACAATTTTACTTAAATGAATCCCTAAGGTAACCATAACTCTCATGGCTATGGACAAGTTCTTGTTACTCAATTCTATCAGCGCTATCGTCACCAACTTCTTGAATGACTAGTGGACTATTTTATACTTTAGTATAATCAAATTGAAATCAAGAACAGCAAGCATTATGGTTGATATTACTTCTTAGCCAATACGATAAAATAATGATAAACACCGCCCAAATGAATTTTTTTATCGTCACTCGATTATTTAAGTTTCAGATAGTAAAATTTACCATCCATAGAATTTAAACTCAAGTGGCCATACCAAGATCGAGGCATACTTATCAATTCTAAAAATTTCACACTTGCAATGGGTGATAAGATTTCAGACAATCGACTCTCAGGTATACAAAATGGCGACGATACATCAGGACGTTGATCGATATCGTATTCCACCGTAAATAATATTCCTTGTGCATCAGGAGTCAACAGTGACATCAATTGTTTAATATATTTGGGATGCTGATCCGGGTTAATGGCAAAAAAAGCAGCACGATCCCAAAAGCGATCGCATTGACAACCTAATAACTCCGCTGTCAATTCATAGAAATCGCAATTGTAAATAGTAATGTCTAACCCTTCGGCTTGGCTTCGATATACTTTGCTGTTACCCATACCTTGCAGCTTTTCAACATGATATTCAATGTTATTTTCGTTAAAAAAATCAATGCATGGCTGTGGCACCATTTCAACACCAATGACTCGATTACCATTTCTAGCTAACCAAAGCATATCTTGTGTTTTACCGCATAATGGTACGAAAATTGTCGATGGTTGATCGCAAGCCAAATAAGATTGATAATATTTGATTAAATAAGGATTACACTTGTCGCTTACCCAGGTTGTATCACCTTCGGCCCAATAATTTGCCCAATCTTCAGCGTTAGTATTCCCCAAAACAATATAATCTTCATACGTTAAACCCATGGCAATAGCTTAAGTTGCAGAATGTAATTTCTCTCTTATTTGGAACGATTTTTAACCAGTGTAGAGGTAACGTATAATGCAATACCAATCTACGCCTACCAATTAAATTAATAAAGTTAATCAACGTTAATGTACTTGCCAAGTACTCCCAAGGAATTTCCAGTATCCAATAGAATAGCAAGAATATTGATCTCAGTAAAGATTGGCTTTGATTACTCCAGTAATTTCAGCTATTATTAATCTACCAATCTAATAGAATCTCTGAAGCAGTCTAAAAGCAAATAGTACAACAAGGGAAGGATTGCCACGTTTTCATAAGATGCTAAAGTTGCTAGAAAGGAAAGCGATGTTATTCAATATTTAAAATTGGTTTTAATAATCTCGAATAATTATAAGTAATCGATCGATTTACTATCTAGAAGTGGATAAAAATATAAACAGAATGTAGCGTTAAAATGCCGTCTGTAACGATTTTAGTTAAGTCTTGATTTGAGCGCGTGTCCTTACTCTTCTAGGTACAACCGTTGCAACTGGACTCTTATCCAGAGATTCTAGATGTTGTATTTCAAACATTATCGTTTTGTACTATCTATTCCTAATACCTTAACGGTATTCATATCTAAAGCGTACCAAGTCATAAGCAAGACATCTAATATCATGAACCACACCAATATACATACAATGACTTATATATATATACTGTCACATCGTCAATCCTTGAACTACTAGGATAGAGTAAAACTCTTCTTCCTTAGCATAATCGGTAAGTATTTAAAACAACGACTTAAGTAGCATTCTACGCGTGTTGTTGCTCTTGATTCGATTGTACTGAAGATCTACTATGGCAAAGAGGTGAAATACGCTAATCAACCTTTCATGATTATTTATTCGAAATCCTCACAAGCTTTGCTTCCGGAAATGCATTATATGATCGAATTTATCATTCTCCAGTTAGCATGTCAAGTGAAATATCGAGAAAATGGAGAATTGTTCAAAATTTTAGTTTATTCGATTATGATTAAATTTAATTCAATTCCATAATTTAGTGAGTAGAAATTATTATCAAACCTTGAGAATTGGCTTTACTACAATTTCAATCCAAAACTGTTACAATCTACAATAAATTATCAGCAAGAAGACTCACCAATTTTCTCGCAAAATAATTTTCTAAATACCCTAGTGTAGAACCTGTTAAGTTATTACACCCAAGCTAGAATGTGTCATGAGGTCTTAGTTAGATTAGCAAGCCAATATGTTTGTAAGATCAAAAACAGCTTTCTTCACGTCCTTACGCGTTAAGCATAAAGACTAAAAAACATCGACGACAGATAATCGCGTCAAAACTATGCTAGCAAAGTGTTCTATTGTAGTGCATATGGGCAATTCTGATTTTGACTGTAATTAGAAATTCAATGATAATGCTAAACTTATGGTACTCCACCTGTAAAATCACGTAGTCTTGTTTTAGTTACGATGTAACTTGGTTGTTACGTCTCCCAACACTACCCTACTGCAACAAGAACTATTCCATCCCTATTTTGAGACACTCGTCAATAAATCGTCTCCAGCTGTAGCGGATAAAGCAGTTTATTAATTCACCATTATTGTTGAATTCGATAGCTGTCATAGTTGTATAGTACAACGCATACACAATCAAGTCTCGAAGTCAAATCCCTGCGGAAGGAATCAGTCTTTTATTCTCTTGTTTCCAACATATTGACAAATACATTTGCTAAATGTTTTTTGTTCATTCTTCAAATGTTGTTTTCCTCTGGGTAAATCAGACCTCAGGACTACAAAGACCTGCTGATACAGCCTACCTAGGCATCTTTCTTCCTCCCCTAAAGGCTATTGCCAACGATACTCTGCTACAGCTTATCCACTAGTAGCCATCGCTATCCTTGCACCAAGAAGTAATACCTTTGACCTGGATCTGCTGTAACATCCCTTGGGAAATAAAACTGCCATGTACACTAGAACAGTGCATACATGATTTATATATACCTTTATAGGTAGTTAATATAACGAATGCAGGGTGTACAAATTATGGATACCCAGTAGAGGAAAAGTAATTTTGAAATCGTTATTAAAAGTAAGATAGCTAGTTCTGCTTATAATTTATATATATATATATATATATATATATATATATATACGCGTATGATGTAAAAAAAGTCAATAAAAAGTTCTTTTACACTTCTATTTTATTAGATCTTTACTCTACAAGCTTATTGCTATATGATTGTACCCTCTCACATCATCATGCATTCTATCTCTACTAAACTTACAATATAAAACCGTAAAAAAGTAGAATATAGATTATAGATTAATTTAATAGACTAGAAGTAGATATTTTGAGTATAAATATTGTTGATTTGAGAATCAAAGCGAGATTATAACGCTAGCGTAATCAAGAACGTTATGCTATGTATTAGGCGACCGAGTGAAATTAACAAATTAAATTCACATGACGATTGCTATATTTTATCGAAGAAAAAGGGCGTAACAGGAACTGTTAAAAAGTTAATGCTAATCCTGTTAAGCATAAAATTGCCATCAACGCCTGTTTCTACCTGAGAGTTCTGATAGAATATTACCCCTGTAAGTGGAGCTAGTAACTTTTCTCGATGGATTCGGTCACTTAATTAATAATATCCTGTAGTAGCGATATTTATTCTTTACTTATCAGAAACAGCGATCACAGTCGACTTAGTCTTCGATAGTTAACGTTGGGTTATCTCTTGATTCCCTTTTCATAATGAATCAGCGGGGATAAATGATCTCAATTTTGGCATAAGTAGGCTAGTAAATAACATACTTGTTATAGCCTGCAATGATAGTCTTCTTACGATATGGCGTATAGCTCTAATTATTTGTTTTTGAACTATTCGTATGGATTAGTTAATGCAGCGATGTGAATTTGTTTGCTATTTAATTCTAGCTTATCAATGTTAGAAACTACGATGGTAGTCATTTCAATACTTGATATTGAACTTGACTCATCCATTTTTTCCATATTACTAATAAATTGCTAGATAAATCGACAATTCTTAAATTTTTAACCATATAATACAAAGCAATGCAGCTATTTAAACCGTAACCATAGCCATTCTAATACTGGAAATTTAGCAATGATGAACAGTACATAAGCTGACGTACTGTAAATTCTTGATCTGATGAATTCTAGTCGGCAATAACTATTGCAATCGTAATCATGCCCATCTCAATGTTGGTCACTTAACTTTAATCATTATTTGTTCAGTTGAAGTACTCTACGTTCGATTGTAAAACTCCAATGTGCTATAGCTATCAAGATTGTGATTACAGCTATTTTAACTTTAATTGGTTAATAGCATGTTAGCAGACTATTAATTTCTTACTCTTAGAATGCTAGTGTATAGCTATGAAAAATCCCGATCAAAGCCAACTTTATGATAGTCATCTAACTCTTGGCCTTCCGTCTTTCTATATTACTAAAGCACTAATTGATGAAGGTACGCATATAAATTTCTCTATCATATAATTGAGAAAACTTACAAAGTATTTAGCTGGCTGGCCGGATTTATCTTCTGGTTCACGTTTCAATATATGCCTTGACGATAAACTCAGTGTAAGAGCAGCTGTTGAATAGCTATGAAATTAGCATCTGCAAGTTATTTTAGGAAGAATTTTAGCGTATACTACGTATGAAACTTACTATAACTTCGATAACCCCAGCTAGTAGGCCAATTTTTATCGTCTTGTTTCCGTTCCAAGATTTTTCAGCTGCGTTCTACCCTTACAAATTTGAATGAAATTGTAAGAAATCAGTCTATGCTTACCAATTTATGAAGAATTCTACTCATTATAAAAGCCCTTAGGCAAAGTTGAAGGGCTGCATTGTCAGCTAATGAATAAATGGAGGCC